AATGTGGTCAGCCTGGTTCTTATTACTTAAAGCGTGTGGATTCCTTATTAGGCTCAAGGGCCGGGAGGGAGGGGGAGAGTTCCACCTCCAAGACCCGGCCTTTGCGCGGCGACACAATAATTAAAATGTCATTTTTCGGGAAGTGAGAGACAAAAGTGGAAGGTTGTGTTGACAATCTGGTGTTTTGTCAGAACGGTCAGAAAGATCAAAGGGGGCACCGTAGGTAAGAGATAATTGATAAGTACGTATGTAGACTATAACGAAAAGAAAAGAAAAAGAAAGAGATGCACCTTGCTCACAGCAGAAGAAACATCTGAACGAAAGAGCAAGACAACAAGCAAACAAGAGGATGAGTAGGAGAGAGACAGAGGAGGAAGAAGAAGGAAGCGAGTGTACGGAAGGGAGGAGACAGACAGAGAAAGAGAGCAAGAGCATCGTCGGTTCGTTTGTTTGTTTTTTGAAGCCGAGGTAGGCGTGTCTCGGGCGGGAGCTAGACATGATGGGTAGCGTGTTCTAGGCTGAAGCAGGGCATGGGAAGACAAATGATGGGGTCAAGGTAAGCGTGTCTCTGGCTGCTGAGCAGCAGGGCACGGAACGACCGGTTAAGCCGAGGTAATCATGTTGTTGGCGAGAGCGAGACATGGAAAGACCAAAAGGTTGAGGAAGCATGTTCTAGGCTTGAGCAGGTCATGGAAAGGGCTGAATACTGCGAGGAATATATGGTCAAGGTAAGCGTGCCTCTGGCCAAAGGGCAGGACATGGAACGACCGTTAAGCCGAGGTAGGCGTGCTCGGGCGAAAGCGAAGGCTTGAGCAGAGCATGGAAAGGCATGGAGGTTTGAGGTGGAGGTTTGTGTCCAAGCTGTGTCCTGTGGCAAATCTGCAAAATGGAAACGAATCTCTGCAGTCCACCGCGAACAACCCGAGAGGTCCGCCGCCTTGCCTGCCGACTGCCAGGTTGCTGTTGTGACGTACTGTTATGACGTGGCCACACCACATGGGGAGGTATCGCTCTCGAGAAGCACACACCAACGCGTACATGGCCTCTGTGCGGTACTGACACGATGTCTATGCATGTGATACTTTGAATTGAGCCTCGTCCGCGACGGACGGAAAGCCACCAAATTGTCTGTGCATTTGAGGTTCGACAACCCACGGGAGATTGCCCCACAGACCAACACATCCCACACACGTTTGTTTCGGCAAAAGTCACGTGCAACAAAGATGCCCAGTAACCCTCCTTGGGGGTTGGCTCTTTTTGCTCTCTCTCTCCTCTGTGCTCGGCGGTGGATGGAGTTCGTGTGGATGGGGCTAGGTGGGCACGCGCCGTGCACGCGAGTAGACCGTGGTCCCGCAACTATGTTTTTTTTTTTTTTTTGTTCTTCACTTCAAATCAGCGCTCACAGCACTAGTGCCGTTTATTCCAACCCGTGGTCACACAGAAGAGCCTCTCTCTATCCTCCCCTCCTGCGGTACTTTGCCTTCGATTTTTAATGCGAGAAGAGTTCAGCACTCTCTTCCCTCTGTGTACACACGAACTTGCGCTATCCACTTGGCCAGGAGCGGAAGCGAGAGAAAAACTCACTTTACAAGAAAAGCTCGCCTACGCCGGGATTCGAACCCCTGACCTGACCTCTAGAAGGTTACGAGGCTACCAACTAGACCACCGGGGCGACCGGTTCCTGACCACCGGGGCGACCGGTTCCGGTTCACCCAATCGGGATCCGATAAAATCATTTCACCTTTTTTCAAATCCCGATTTGGATTTGGGTCGTCCTGTTTTACGTCCTAAAGATTGGACGGGTTCCATAAATTTTTAGCCAATCAATCAACAAGAGAGTTCTTTGAATCTTCCGGTCTTTAACTAAATCTGAATGTGATTTCGTGATCTGATTTCTTCGTTTACCCTTTTACCCTAAAAACGCTCAAACAAACTGGCCCCGAGGGATCCGCAAGAAAATAGAAATCAACGACAGATATTCTGGAGTCCTCCGCTCCCTCTGCGTGCGCTATGCGAGGTAACAACTGAGACTAGGAGTCAGCATCACGGGCCAGAGAGAAAGAGGTATACCCCCTTGGTTCAATCTTGGTGCTTCACACGCAAGCAGTGCAGCCGATCAGGTCTAGGGTCCTCATCCCTATATATGCATACATACAAAATTGGAAAAGTTTCTTCTCGTATCATCAATGGATCTGCCGCACAGCTGCTGTACCTGAGACGGCAGAATATATATGTACTACATACATCACACCGGCACCATCGACGTGTAGATATTATATCGTCCTGGTTGCGGCTGGTGGAATCAATTGTGGTAGCCTAAATAAAGTGCCAACACAGCAATGCATGCTTTTCTCTCGGGCCACGATATTCCTACAAGTAATACCCCGGTGCAGACCGTCATTTTTCTTGGACCGTTCAACTTCATATTGTTGATCTACGATGACCAAGGTCGCCCCGGTGGTCTACCGTATATGACACAAGATAACACACCCCCTTGGCCGATTTTCAAAGCTCGATTTCTCAACAGCAGGAAGAGTCACAGCGCCGAAAACGGCGGCGTTGGAACCGTCTCGTCGAGAGCTGTTCGAAAACGTATTGTTTCATTTATGCATCCTCTTCGTGGAGTAATCGAGCTTTGAAAATCGGTCCAGGGGGTGTTTTATCTTGTGTCATATACGGTAGTTGGTAGCCTCGTAACCTTCTAGAGGTCAGGTCAGGGGTTCGAATCCCGGCGTAGGCGAGCTTTTCTTGCAAAGTGAGTTTTTCTCTCGCTTCCGCTCCTGGCCAGGTGGATAGCGCTAGTTCGTGTGTACACAGAGGGAAGAGAGTGCTGGTACACAGAGGGAAGAGAGTGCTGAACTCTTCTCGCATTAAAAATTGAAGGCGAAGTACCGCAGGAGGGGAGGGCAGAGAGGGGCTCTTCTGTGTGACCACGGGTTGGAATAAACGGCACTAGTGCTGTGAGCGCTGATTTGAAGTGAAGAACAAAAAAAAAAAAAAAAAAAAAATGTATCATACATTTACCGTTTCAATTTCAACTCAGTCATTTATGTATAGCAATCGATTTTATTCTTCCGCTTTTGCAAGCGGAACTGCCTTTTATTAGTCGGCCCCAAACGCAGCGAGGAGACACATAGACACACGCCTCACACAATGGCTGAGCGTACCGCTCCAGGAGCCCATAACGTTCTGTACACTTCAGCAGACTACCCTACTGGTCTGTACTCTGGTGACAGCAAGCGGCAACCAAACGGGGTACTTCGTATGTATTTATTTGTTTATGTGTGAAAATGCGAAGATACACATACATCGAGGAGACGGATTCTGTGCAAATGCACTTGGGATTCGCTTGCTCCCTTCTGTCCGATGACAACAAGCAGAGGCTACAAGCAGAGGCTGCCAAGCGAGTAAGAGGGGCTGGGGTTTACACGTCATACATTGCATGTATTATGCATTAGTCCACTTGCTGCATGGGCATAGATCGATAGGTTGCACGGCAAAACATAACGAACGTTGGACCTGCAGTAGGGACTCACTCACCTACCTACTGCTGTAGAGGCTGATCACGGCGCTTTATAGTCTTCACAATAGTCCATATGTCCATATTACTACTGCTGTTCTTCGTGAAAAAAGCCCGTCGTATGTAGAGTTTTTGTCAACCTAGCCATACACAAACATGAAGCAGGGGGCGTGAACCTCGCTGGACGCCAACTCCAACTATAGGCAGATCTACCTTCAGCATCTCTCGCATAGCCACGCACCTTGCATGGCGGTTTCTTTCCGCCGGAAACACGGAGACACGAAGAAGGTCGAAGCCCGCGGCTGGAGAAGATGATGCAGCAGGCAGCAGCTCTGCCTCTTCCAGATTCCGAACAGAGAGACCGAGCGAGGGACAGAAAACCCTGACGATCGTCAGAAAAAGAAACCCTGACGGGGATCCCGCGCTGAATATGACAAGGCCACCACGGTGGCAAAGCTTGGTGGATGATAGCCCTGAGAGCACCTACTACCTCAGGACCCCTGTCGTGCAATGTGACGGGCAGCGTTTTTGTTGCAGTTCGAGATTTGATTGGTTTTGCATTGGTTGAACAGGTACGAAAAAATAAAAAAATGATTGATGAGTGATTATGTGTACGATTTCCCAGACAGCATACATATAGGGACATCTCCCCTTGCGGATAACAGGCTCAACAAAACCTATGGTAGCTTTTAATTTTTTCCATTTCGTGCCCACGTGTGTCTTGTGATCCACAGTAACGGCGAATATGACAAGCATATTCGTACAACAATCATAACAACAATCAAACATCATCATGGATACCATACATATATGTAGCCGCCGATCAGTATTTATTTACAGTGAGCGCCGAGTCAAAGACCATTCATTTGGGTTTCGCCTCTCTTTTGATCGATAACTCTTGCCTCCCCCACGACATGATGCTTTCCGGCTTTCAACCATCAAGGTAAGTATATTATTTGTAGAAATGTCATGGCAGGACGCACTACTAGAAAATAGTGAAGAATTTTTTCTACACATAATATCTTCAGTGATTTTTAAAAATTTTGAACCTGCTGTATCCGTGTACAAAACGAAGTTTCTGCGTTAGCACTACTGTAATACGGTTGGCACACGAGAAACACAGCATCCCACTGATGTACAGCAGTCTTCCGACCTCCCATCGATATGCAATTGCACTCCATGGCCTAAGTTCGCGAAGGAAATAAATGTAGGCGCTAGCGTGTGATACGCTCAACAATCACAACGGCCATCAACACTTGGAAGTACATCCAACCCGTAAGTGTTCGATGGCGAGCAAAGGTCGTCTTCCATCAACTTCCATGGAAGCTGGCCAAGAATATATTGCCTCATGGAACAAAAGGCAAATATAAAAAGTCGCCAGACGCGCATGCCACACTGCCGTCATGAAGGATGAAGGGGCACGCAGAGGAGACAATAATACACGTATGTTTGCCGACAGGAAATGTGCCAGAAATGGCCGATGGTGACAACAGCAAACGTCGACAACAAGATGAAGGAGCACTTCAGCCCCGACCTCTTCAGCCCCTTGGACATCACGGATGACCGCCGTCTGCTCAGGAAGCTGCTGCATGATTGCAAGTGAGTGCCCCGATTATGCTGTGACCGTTTGTCTTACCGGCTGCAAACCCTAAACCTTTGTAGTCCCACCCGGGAACCCCAGTCTCGTCGGCCACGTATAGCACTAACTTTATTTATCGCAGTGGCTGCCCCATTGCATCGGCCGGCACCCACGCAGGGAGTGCTTGCGATTTGGCTATTGCTATCCCCCCCATGCACCCTTGCGTGTGCTGTGTCGGATGATGACGTCGACGGTTCGGCGGTGCCGAGACCCTGCTTAACTTTGGTACAGTAGTCTCGATGAATATATCCCAAACAGAAGGATCGACCGACTGTCGGCGGGACTCGCCAAGAGGGTAGGGTGTTGTTGGGGTTCCTACAGGCTACGCCTGGTTGCACCGCCCTGCACAAGATGTAGACACAATATCTGCACTGTTCGGAGTTGATAGGGTGGGTAGGGCGTGCGGTGCGGTCAATGTTCTCGAGGCGTGAACGACCACCGTCCGTAGGTGTAGGTTTTGGATACTCCGGCGTGGAGCGGACGAACCAGTCTTGAGACCGCGGAGATCTCGAGTATTCCGGAGACGCATGTACTCCGTAGTATGCCTAGGAATTGCAAGTGTATCGTCTTGTGAGTTGTTGCCTGGATTCAGCGTGTCGCGCGACAGGTTGGAGGGAGGGCCATGAAAGGCCATGGCTGGTATAGAAGGAGCTTTGGGTTGCGATGTATAGGGTGAAGGCGTGGTGAATGCCGTCCGTAGCGATCGATTTCCGCGATTAAGTATATTGTCACTAGAACGCGTACAGCCCAAATCATACAAAAAGCACCGTGCAGAATTATGCCACGTAACCGTTCACAGTGTAATCGGCGTACATCGTCACAAGCACCGCCTTCCTCCACCCACGGCCGTGCGGAGAGGTTGGCAACATGAGTGTCTACACACACAGGATACCCGATGACACTCCCGTGTTCTACCCGACGAGGGGCTTTCCCCTACCCCAATACGCCGCCCAGTTATACGGCGATGCCATCGGGAATTACCCATTAGACCCAGCCTCCTGTTGCAGTCTCATCCTCGACCCCCCCCCCCCACTGGTGATTCTGTTCGCTAACGGCCTTGGTCAACCCGAATTGATGCAGGGTCCGCTACGAGCGCGAGGTAGAACAACAGCAAGCCAACAACATGGACCCAACGGTGGAGTCTCAAGACCCCACCAGCAGCACCCCAGACGTGGAGGTGGTGGAGGATCCACCAACTATGTCGTCCGGTGAGGTGTCCGACGCCCGGTGCTCCCGATCAGCACGGATGTGTGGCACGTCCTCGTCTATCGTGGTGTGCCTGCGATGTAGCTACGGTAGCGTCGTGAATAACAATGGTTCACGCGATTTTAGGACGGTTGGACTCTGTCCGATAAACAACTACCACGACGAGCCTTGGCGTTACAGGCCAGCGATCTGCTTCGTTGTGTGTCGTTGCACGTGCAGTTAACAGACAAGAGTGCTCCGCTACTATCACACCAACCTCGCACTCATCGACTTCCGTCCTGCGCTGTCCGACTTCGATTCCGGTCCCAAACAGAAGTGTCAGTAATGGGAGCTTACGAGAGGAGCGCAAAGGCTACACAACGATCGCAATGACTACAGAATACCATCAACAGCGGCGCAAGGACGGTTATGGATCATGGGCAACACCACGACTGCGACCTTACGACGGATTTCTAATCTGAAGACAACAATCCGCTTGAATCCACGTGGACGTGCGTGACAGCTTTAGACACGAGTAGACGTTCACGTTTCCACCTTTCAGAGTCCTAGCCATGAGTCACGTGGAACACAAACATTCTTCTCGATAATTTATGGTTCGAGAAGGACAAACTTACTTGGCACGATCCATATGGGATGAGGCACTGCACCCGAACCCATCGACTAGCCTGCGGCAGCGGCGTGCCGTAATACGGGCGACAGGGTTTTTCTGTGCCTCGCTTGCGGTGTCCGATTTTTCGAACAGATACGACTACTACGAAGGGATAGCGTGGACACTCAACCTCGGGTGTCAGTTATCACCTTGCATAGCGAAAGCCCTTTGACCCATGAGGTCCCTTGGCTATTATATGTTACCCAACAGCTGCAATGCCTACCACGGGGTCCGTATACAGACTGGCGATTAGCCCTTGAGGCGGGATCGCTCGAAAGAACAATGACACCTACATACACAGCGGTCATGGCGTTGGCGAAGGCCCATGGCGGTGTCTATTGGTGGCCACGGTGTGCCGTGGGGTTTCATGAGGAGCAACAGACACCGCGAGCCTATATACTATGCAAGGAGGTGCCATCAGGTATAATGAGGTCTCATGGAGTGTCATTAGGCGGCATGAGGTGTCGTAAGGTCTCATGAGGTGTGTCATGAGCGTTAATGAGCGCTCATGAGCACTAATAAGCTGTGATGAACGCTCACGAGCGATCATGAGTGGTGATGAGCGGAGATGAGCCGTCATGAGCGCTCACGACCACTGGCGAGCGCAAGCGGTCATGAGCGGTCATGACAGCTCATGAGCGCCCATGAGCTGTGACGAGCTGCCATGAGCGGTCATGAGCGGTAATGAGACGTGATGAGCGGGCATGAGCGCTCATGGGCGCTCGTGAGTGCTCATGAGCTGTCATGAGCGCTGCTGAGCACTTGGGAGCGGTCATGGGTGGTTATGAGTTGTGGTGAGCTGTCATGAGCGTTGATGAACGCTCGTGAGCACTTATCAGCTCATATGAGCGTTTCTGAGCGCTTGTGAGCGCTCATAAGCTGGTATGGGTGGTGATGAACGCTCACGACCTGTGATAAGCGGTCACGAGCGGTCATGAGCAGTAATGAGCGCTCATGAGCGGTCATGAACGGTCATGGGTGGTTATGAGCCGTGGTGAGCTGTCATTAGCGGTAATGAGCGGTCGCATGAGTTAGTATGACCGTTGATGAGCGCTCATGACTTGTGATAAGCGGTGATGAGCGTTTTTGAGCGGTCATGGGCGGTGATGAGCGCTTATGACCTGTGATAAGCGGTCACGAGCGGCCATGAGTGCTCAATAGCGTGTCTGAGCGCTCATGAGCGGTCATGGGCGGTTATGAGTCAGGGTGAGCTGTCATGAGCGGCAGTGAGCGCTCGCGAGCTGGTATGAGCGCTCATGGGCGCTCATGAGCGCTCGTGAGAGTCAGGGTGAGCTGTCATGAGCGGCAGTGAGCGCTCGCGAGCTGGTATGAGCGGTAATGAGCGCTCGTGAGCTGTCACGAGCGCTCATGAGCGGTCATGAGCGCTCGCGATCTGTCATGAGTGCCCATAAGCGGTCGTGAGGGGTGGTCAGCTGTCATGAGTGCCCATGATCGGTCATGGGCGCTCGTGAGCTGTAATGAGTACCCGTGAGCGCCCACGAGCGGTCACAAGCTGTCATGACCGCGAATGAGCTGTTATGGGCGGTCATGAGCGGCCATGAGTTGTCATGACCGTTCATGAACGGTCATGACAATGTGAGCTGTCATGAGCGGTCATGAGTTGTCATGACCGTTTATGAGCCGTGATGAGCGCTCATGACCGGTGATGAGCAGTCATGAGCGTTCGTGGGAAACCATTTTTTTTTTTTTTTGGTTCTTCACTTCAAATCAGCGCTCACAGCACTAGTGCCGTTTATTCCAACCCGTGGTCACACAGAAGAGCCTCTCTCTACCCTCCCCTCCTGCGGTACTTCGCCTTCAATTTTTAATGCGAGAAGAGTTCAGCACTATCTTCCCTCTGTGTACACACGAACTAGCGCTATCCACTTGGCCAGGAGCGGAAGCGAGAGAAAAACTCACTTTGCAAGAAAAGCTCGCCTACGCCGGGATTCGAACCCCTGACCTGACCTCTAGAAGGTTACGAGGCTACCAACTAGACCACCGGGGCGACCATGAGCGGTGTTGAGTTGTCGTGAGCGGTCATGAGTTGTCATGAGCGCCCATCAGCGCTCAGGGGCCGTGATGAGTTGTCCTGAACGCCCATGAGTGTGATGATGAAGTGTGGTGAGCGTTCATTAGCGCCCATGAGCGATGTTGAGCTGTCATGAGGTTAGGGCATATACCCATCCATATATCCCCGGGATTTCTGCCGTTGCCTCGGTGCCTTGGCGTCTCGATCTCGCATGGTGTGCATCACCACTAGCGCTGCTGGCGCTGTGAATTAGTGGAGAGCCCTGAGAGATGGCATGACACCCCGGTCATCTTAGCAATCTTAGGGTTAGAAACCCCACGGAGCCGCAACAATAGGCCGCCAGTCGCCCGTGTGGCCTATTGGTCCAGCCAAACGTAACCCTACAACAAAAAGAAGACCAAGGCTACGGGTAGATTATTTGCGACACTATGTTCCCTGTTGTGCAGTGCTATGTAGAGGAGGCGGCAACGGCAAGTTTGCAAGGCAGGTGTGGTTCAATGTGAAAGCTGGTCAATGACATGTTCCAACCGAATTTGACGAATACTACTACTACTACTACTACTACTACTATATGTAGACTATATTCCCCAATTCCCCAATTGTCAAATTGGGGTTTCTGTCAGGGCTATTCTCGAAAGCACTAAAATTTTTTGTGACAAATTCGTATGGCATTGTAACGAAGGATTTTGTGCTTTTTTATGGCATTACTTGTATAACGAAGGATTTGTGACAACTTCGTATGGCATTATAACGAAGGATTTTGTGACAAATTCGTATGGCATTATAACGAAGGATTTTGGGGTTACTTTGTATGGCATCATAACGAAGGATTTTGTGATTCTTGTTTGGGACGCGCTACACGACACCACCACAACGATATCTCGAAAATCAGGCCACCTATCGTCACTTGGAATGTGTGCTCCGTCGTGCTGTCGCCGGGCGTGGCGGTCGTGTGGGTCACTGGCGTTGTGTGCGACGAGAGCGTACGGCGGACAAATACCTGCTGAGATCTCGCGGAAGCGTCTCTATCTCGTCTCGCAGTCGAGGGACACGCGTACAGCAGTATCGCGCCGCTTATAGCGAACCGGCACGAAACACGCCGCGTTGTGAACCAAATTACTGCTGAAGATCTCGTTGCACACAATCAATCGCTCTGGACAGCACACGGCCGTGTGTAGATATATAAAGTAAGTGGGGTGGGGTGGAGCACCGCGTGCCCCCCGGATGAGAAGAATCAGGAGCCAATGAGCCCACTTCTGCGATTTCAACAACAAATAGAGCAAGAGGATGTCCCCGCCTTTCCTGTACATGGTGCGACACTACTATCTACCGCTGTGCAGTGCGGTGTGCGCGCCCCTCGGTACCTAACATCCTCCGTTTCTCAGAAATTTTGCGAGCCGCGCTGTGCATACGTATGTACGTCTGTCTCCAGTGATGAAGTGATGGGATCTCTTCTCGCTAATTTACTTCATCAATCCGCTTCGGGGTTACGACTGACTCCATCTTTTCCTCAGCCCCTTCACCACTCATCACGGCATAACTCCCTTACATGCATCTAGCGTGCACGCTGGACTAAAAAGCAAATGGGGAAGCAGTCGTGGCGAAGCCCACGACAATCTTTTGTCAAATTGGGGTTTCTGTCAGGGCTATTCGCGAAAGCGCTAAAAATATTTGTGATATATTCGTATGGCGTTATAACGGGATGTTGTGATTTTTTTGTATGGCATTATAACGAAGGATTTTGGGATATTTTGTCTTGATCGTAGTACAGAAAAAACGCGGCTTCATTTCGTGACACACCACACGACACCACCACAACGATATCTCGAAAATCAGGCCACCTATCGTCACCGGACCACTTGGAATGTGTGCTCCGTCGGGCTGTCGCCGGGCGTGGCGGTCGTGTGGGTCACTGGCGTTGTGTGCGACGAGAGCGCACGGCGGACAAATATTTGTTGGCGCTAGCTCCTCGCGGAAGCGTCTCCATCTCTGTCTCTCTGTCGAGGGACACGCGTACAGCAGTATCGCGCCGCTGATAGCGAACCGGAACGAAACACGCCGCGTTACGCACCAAACTAAGTACTGCTGAAGATCTCGCGACTACAAGACTGGTTGCACACAGTCAATCGCTCTGGACAGCACACGGCCCCTGCTGATCAGCAGGGGCTGGCGCTGTGAGCAGGGGCTGTCGCTGGGAGTGGAACCGCCATGCCTCCAAAGAAGAACAAGTCGGCGACAACGGGCAAGGGGGAAAAGCGAAAGGATAGGTCATCATCTAACAGGCGATCCTCATGATTGAGAAAAAATCTTTTATTGAGAATTTTTTTTTTGTCGAACCAAAAATGACCGAAACATTATTTCGACGCGAGCATAGAAAAGCTTAGGACCCTAACAAAAAATTGTTCACACGCCTCCTTGCCCAAGTACATATTATCTAGCCGGAAGGCCGGGATAGACTCTTCTTTTGGTAGAAGACCACGTGTATGCGGCGATCAATAGAGACAGTCCACTGTTCACAGCATGTTGAAGGCGTTGTGAACTATTTATTGGATCGCCGATGAAACAGGTCGACGCGCCAAACAATGGCGACGGACGGAGGCCGTTGTCGATACGACCGAACACATATGTACATACATGCCCTATGGCAATGAATGAAGGCGGAAGGCCCCACGATCCAACCCGCTATCACAC